GTGAACCTGCCCTGCCCTTTGCAGCAAAGGTGACATAAACAGAAACAAAACAAATGTGCAACGCTACATCTTTAATAAATATTACACCGTAGTCGTTTGGTTTTGTATCGATTCATTTACAAAGCCTGCAGCCTCTAGCAGAACAGGAACAGATGGTTGTGTGTCTTTTGTCCGTGTCTCTGTCAGGCTTCCTGCGAGCCGAGCCTGGACTCCAGGCACTGACAGAGCCACTGGAGAGCCCCGTGGTGCTGGGGATGCTCCTGCAGGATCTGGTGGACGATGGCTTTGATGGCCCGGAGCCGCTCCTGCAGTTTCTGCTGCTCGTTTCTCCAGGCTTGCTCGGTGCGGCACAGGGGGGGGTACTTCCCTTCCTTCAGCGCCTGCAGGTGCTTCTGGCGTGTCTGGTAGGCCACGATCTCCAAAAGGTTCTGAGGAAAGCAAAAACGGAAACAGCTTTGACAGCAGCCTGCACGCTGAAAAGAACCAAGAAACCGACGTGGTTCGTGCCACAGCCGCTGTAACCGTGGGCTCTGAAACCAAAGGGCTGCTGCTGGGACTTCCCCATCCCTTCCTTCAGCGCCTGCAGGTGCTTCTGGCGTGTCTGGTAGGCCACGATCTCCAAAAGGTTCTGAGGAAAGCAAAAACGGAAACAGCTTTGACAGCAGCCTGCACGCTGAAAAGAACCAAGAAACCGACGTGGTTCGTGCCACAGCCGCTGTAACCGTGGGCTCTGAAACCAAAGGGCTGCTGCTGGGACTTCCCCATCGTGATGGCCAGACAGCCTCCCCACGCCGAGCGCTGCAGAGGCACGGCCATGTCACACAGTTCCAGAAATCAGGGAAATACCCCATGCATTCAAGGTAACCCCAGCCAGGACAGTTTCCCCAACTTAAAAACATCACAGGAGCTCATTCAGGACCTTGAGCTGGCTCTCAAATTTGTAACATCCTCACGAGCAGCCAGCTAGCGCTCGCAGAGGACAGCTGTGATATTTTCGATCTATAAATGATGTCCTTCAGTCACTACGTTCCTATGTATGTGCCCTCAAAGTGTGCTCAGTTAAAGTGTTGCTAAGATGCCGTGTCAGCTCAGGGCGGTGGGGACAGGAGGGACAGGGAGCTGGGAGCAGACAAAAGCAGCAGCTCCTGCTCTCACCCAGCGCTTCCTGCTGCGCAGACTCTCGGTGTCGGACTCGAGGCCGTGGGACTCGGCCTGCAGCCTGAGCAGCTCCTGCTCCTTTTCTGCGAGGGCGGCGCTGAGGGACGTGTGGGTGCTCTCCAGCTCCAGGATGGTTTTGTTGCAGTCCTGAGCGTTCTGGTAAATGGAAGAGAAGCAAATGGCAGGTTCTGGTGCTCCAGTTCGCCTGCAACCCCTCTGTTTGGAGGTTTTGAATGAGTCTCCAAAGCCCACCCCATGGGCAGGGTCTGTGTACTGTACAGTACAGGCCCTGTTTTACTTGCTCACCTTCTGGGTTTCTCTGATCCTCTTTCTCAGCTCCTGTTTCTTGCGTTGGAGTCGCATGTTGGAAGTGATGTGTTTCTTATCTGTTTTGCTCTGACCCTCTCTATGAATCGCTATCGCCTCTCTGCGAGAAACAGATGCCTCCATATCACGAACCATTTTCTCCTGCTGCTTTATCAGCTGGCCATGGCGGATCTGCCATTCGTCAAGACAGAAAATAGGCTGAATATAATGAAGGGCTACGAACGGCACCCAAGTGACGTCTTCCGTGTGTCAACAGCCACCAGATACACGTGAGCCTTGGCGAGCCAAATCTGCTGTCAATCCAAACCTGGCTTGCCCTGCGTGGATCCGGAAGGCAGAGCACTGGATTGTCAACTCGTCTAAAGTCATCTTCAAGATGTTTCACTGAACTCATCAGCAATAGGAAAAGCAGAAAAGCAGAAGCATCCCGAGAATGAAAGGGAAGAGCTGCTTTGCCACAAGACAGAAGGCTTTCCCAACCAGTGGTTAAGATGATGCAGTACTTAGTAACCAACATTTCATTGCTTATAAACTGGGTCACAGAATAAGGGGCAGACGTTACACTGTAAATAGATCTCTTGGGTATGTCAGGGTTCTGCTGCAGCCTATCACGCAGCACACACAGAGAACACGTCGAGTGTGTGCGTGCTGGATGTCTTTAATTCAGTGTAGCTGCAGGGTGCTAAGATTTCCACTCCTGCCATGGCCTTGCAGATGCTGCTTCTCCAGCCTGTTTCTCATCTCCTGCCTTATGATCCAGCAACTCCAAAGCTGAGCACGCTGTGTGCAGCTTCCCCTCCCCAGTCCCCCTTCCCAGGGGCTCACCTGCATCCTGCGAATCTCCATCCTCATGGTGTGGATTTCTCCTCGGCTTATGTCAGAATCCACCGCCGCACGCATCTCTCTCATCAGCTGGATCTTTTTCTCCCACAGCATGATTTGATGCCTTCAACGACAAGAGAGGGAAAGCGGTGCCTTTGTGAACACCAGAGGATGCTCCTCAGAGCTGAACTAAGGATTTGCAGGTGGGATGTGGTAAAAGGGCAGCAACAGAGCAGCGTGAAATCAGACAGGAAGCTCTGCAGTTTAGAAACTGTAGATGATGACTGTGGAAACAAGCCCAGACCGGCAGGGGCTGATGGAGCCGGTTCATGGCCCAGTGCAGCACGCTCGCTCTGGGTTACTGGCAGAGGAGATGGGCTTCCCATGCAGATCTTGGCAAGGTCCAGCACAAGCCTGCTGCAGTGGGTACAGCCAACATCCTCTCAGCTCTTGCTGGCTCCAGAGATGGCCAAAGCACCTTTCAGTTTTTGCATTTCAAAAAATTCATTAAACTCCTTTCATCTTCTCCAAGAAGGACAGAAAGAAGCGCATTTGCCGGTGCTGGCTCAGTTTGATGATTGGAGAGGAAAAGGAGCACAGACACATGCACAAAAGTTCAAGACTGTGGCACAACACACGAGTCTCTCTGGTACCTACTCTGCTTCCACCAGGCTGTTCAGGAGCCTTTCCTTCTCCTCAGTCAATTGGCTGTGCCTCTCCTGCATCTCAATGGATTCTCTTTCTGCCGCCTAGGATTGGGAACCATAACCCAATACAACATTGTCAGACCAAGAGAGATTTGCAGGATCACTGTTTGCCTCTCATGGGAGGCTGAGACCTGGAAACGAGACGTCAAGCCTCTGTACCTTGAGAGAGTGCACAAACTCGTTCTCTGTGATGACGTTGCCATACTGCAGCTCCTCGAAGCTGCTCTTGTTCTTGTTGATCAACACATTCAACTTTATCAAGTCGTTGGACATGTTCTTCATGTGGCGTTCGATGTCTTTCTGTTCTTTTGTTTCAGCTGAATTTCATCTACAGGTGAACAGAAGAAAGTCTTAAAATTCCCAGGCGAGGGCGTGACAAACTCCTGTTAGACCAGACAACACAGAGCCCCCTGTGTCCCACGTACCCAGCCAAAACATTTCTCCACAAGCCCGAAAAATCAAATAAGGTTTCGAAGGACACTACTATGGAAAAGAGTTGGTTTTGGCCCAGGGAAAGTCCTATTATTTTGGGGGACATTTACCTACCAGTCTTAAAATTCCCAGGCGAGGGCGTGACAAACTCCTGTTAGACCAGACAACACAGAGCCCCCTGTGTCCCACGTACCCAGCCAAAACATTTCTCCACAAGCCCGAAAAATCAAATAAGGTTTCGAAGGACACTACTATGGAAAAGAGTTGGTTTTGGCCCAGGGAAAGTCCTATTATTTTGGGGGACATTTACCTACCAATTACTTGCAAACTTGATTTCAGAAGTGTAACACATGACAGGGTTCGGCTGCGTCAGCTACGACAGCAGGATGGGTGGTCACAGGAAAGAACCTCTTTGGTGGAGGTTACCTTTGCCCGTCTGCAAGCCTTTGCTCCCTTTTCCTCCATCCACGGAGGAGCATTTTAAGAAAGAGCCAGGGAATGACTTACTTTCGGTGCGCAGTTTCTTCTGCTGCATTACTGTGAACTGTTTCTTCAACATATCCAAGGAGGCGATTTGTTCCTCCCGCTCGTGTGTTAACTCGACCAGCTCTTTCTGCAGATCGAGCCAGCGCTTCTGTAGCGTCATCGTCTCGCAGTTGCATTCTTCTATGTGCTTGGTCAGCCCGGTGATCTCAATTTCCCACGGTCCCAATTCGTGCCCCTGTACGAGGGCAGGGTTTGGGATTAGCCAGGCAGAAGCTGCTGGAGCTCTTGTTTATAGCATCAGTGCAGAAGGTGCCTACTCAATTCTCCAACTACACTGTTATTTTGTCTGTTACCTTCTGCCCCCATTTATCTTACCATCCTATTCCCCACGAGCTACACGGGGCTAATAAGCCCTGACCTCACAGGAATAAACGCACCAGAAGCCTGAGAGGTTCCTGGACTCAGTGAGTGGCTGGAGGGCCTCCTAAGCCCTTACAACAGCTACACGTGGACATTCAAAGGTTTGTGAAGTGGATGCCATAGCACTCGTTTTTGTGCTGGTATCCATAAAGGTCTTCGCTCCCAGTGCTAGGGACAGCTCTGGGTGTCATCTGGATGGGGACAGCCACCAGTGACTCCAGTGACTCTGCCTGTTCCGCTCTCCCCTTGTCTGTCTTCGCAGAGATCCTGTTTACACCCAGAGTATTGATGCCATTCAACGTTTTCACCAGGTGTAAACAAGTCCCTGCAGAAATCTGTGCCAGGCACACCCTCATTTCACAATTCCCCAATGCCAGCTCCTCTTCACGTGCATTAGGAACCGTTCAACAAACATAAACACTGACATTAACTACTGCAGCTTTTAAATCACAACACCAATGCCCCAAAGTTTTAACTGTCCAGCACTCATGCAGTTGCAATTATCAAGGGCATTGGTGGTCACAACAAAGAATACAATCAAGTCTGGGACTGAAACGTAAAGGTACCTACCCCCAGCTCTGCAAGAATCTTCTCCAGCCTCTTCTTGTTCTGGCTGATGACCCCTCCCTTGTTCTCAATCAGGACGCTGCACTTTGCGATCTCACGCTCCCTGGAGCTAAGCAGATCATGGGCATTTTTTATTTCCTTGTCCAGCTCACAAAGCGTTTTTTGGAGAACCGTCAGCCTGCCCTCGGTTTCGGTTGCATTCAGAACAACCCGTGCTATCTCGTTCTCAACCTTGCAAAAATTCAGCTCCTAGGAATATCAACAGACAGAAAACAAATCATTGCCACCAACAGCAACTCACTGATCTGTGATGCCCACTTATCAAAGCACAGGGATCGGGGGATTTCGATTCTGCTCCCAGGTCTGTGCTACAAGCTGTGAGCAAGCTATTTAACACCTCTGTGCCGTTGTTTCTCCATCAATTGACAAGAGGTAGCAGTACTCACCTCTGCCATAACGCTCTTGAAAAGCATTAAGGAGCCTAAACATCCCAAAACCTTTTAAGAGACCACACTCCTCCCGTCTGCAGTTACCCAGATGCCTGTTACCTGGCTTGCAGCAGTTGGGACATTGCTACATCGCACCTTCTCCACCATACCTGACAAACGCATCCCTCGCCCAACAGCAACTGTGCAAGCCCAAAGCGTGGCCATGGACCACACCACGAGAGGTTGTAATGTGGTCTTTTCCAAGCCCATAATCTTGGGCTGAGGTAACCCATGGACACATGGAGATGTGAGTGCGCTGCGTTAGTGCCAGCCCACACAACCTGATACGATGAATACTATGCTGACTCTTCTCGGTTTTCTATCTGCACCAGTTACACACTCCCAAAGAGAGCAACTTCTCACGCCATGTAGAACCGTGCAGCTGGTTTGACTGCTCTTGGTCTGTAATCCCTACTTAGAAACTGCACATTCCCTGACGCAGTAGAGAGGTATAAGTTAGTTCAACGTGCAGTATTGAAGTACCATATATCCACTGTCTTCCTGCAGTACTTAAGATCTTGAACCACTTTACAGTAAATACTCCCAGGATTCATCATTCTGCCCCACTTTTTAAGTAAAGAAAGAATGGTACATTGTGTGTCAGGCCTTTCTGGCCAAGCTCTCTCGCATACGCCATAATCCTGCAATAGGATCACTGGAAGAACCAAATTGGATTTGCAAACCCAGCGGAGTTTCAGTTGCAGACCTGAAAACCAAATTGAAGACACTGACAAAACACACCTGAACTGCTCTAGGCGGTTTCCTTGCCCTGCCCTCCCAAATGGAGGAGATACCATACCAGCTCTGGTTTTCTCTGACGAAGTTTTGCAGCCAGCTGTGAAGAGTATTTTGCGGCTTTGCTGGACATCATCTGCTCCTGAAGCTTTGCCATGATTTCATTCTCCATCTGCTCATTCACCGCAGTTCCTTTGTTTATATCCTTACTGAGGGACAGTAACTCATTCAGATGAGCAGCTTGAACCTACAAGGTAGGGAAGACAGAGACAGGATCGTTACAGCTCTTTGAGGAAGGGGATTAAATATCTGTGTCCAATTCAAAAGGATTTTTCTTCCCAGTAACTCTCCTCACCGTCTTGGTCCTGGTGAGGGCCTGCTCTGTCTCCTGGAGAACGCAAGTGTAGATGCCAGATTCATTCTTCAAGGCCTCCTGCCTCGAAAGGCAATTGGCAATCAGTTTCTTTGTCGTCTTGGCGTCGTTCTGTGAGCGGCTCAGGGCGGTGAGGAGGAGCTCGTTCTTCTCCTCCTCCTTCCTGATCGACTTCCCACAGCCATGGATGTCCATTTCTAGGGACTTGAGGTCATTTCTGTACTTGCTGCAGAGGCAAATAGGATGGAAAATCACCACCCGGGTTGGCTCATGTGCTGAGCAGTCATCTACAAATTCCTCTTTCCAAACACGCTATTTCAGCAGCAACTGACCAAGAAGGAAGAGCTTTTATAAAGGCTCATCCGCTGTGACAGTGCAGAGCCATCGGAAGATGGATGGAGACATTAAGATTTAAAAAGAAATGCATGTAGGAAAATGAATTCCTTCTTTCAGCCCTGTCCCCACCCCTCCATTCTTACCAGGATGCCACCCTATAAAAGCGCATTGTTTGCTCTTAGAGAATCAGCCAAGCTTTACGGCCGCAGACCAAATAAACACTCGCTTTGGCTACAGCAGGAAGGTCCTGCCTTTCTAAAGGCCTCACAAAATCCAGCTGGAAGTGATAGATAAATCCTTCTTGTTGCCTAGCTCTTTGGACTGAGAGACGTTGCAAAGGTGAAGGAACTCTTTTAAAGGAATAGAATCTGACAAGAAAAAACTCTAAACAGCTTTAAAAAACCACACATTTTGAGGCAGAGCTGTGTTTTGGATAAAGAAAATAGTAACAAAGAACTGTACTTCTTATCCTTTAGCTTTAAGATGTGCTTAACAGCAGTAAACTGGTTCTGACGCATCCTTCATATGCAGTAATAACCCTGACAGGAAACACACTGCCCCTTTTAGAATCTCCCCTGTCCGAATTATTTGCGGTCTCTCGTGGGACTGTTTTCAGACACCGTACCTCAGCAGCTCTTGTGCAGCAACATAGGCCTCATCTCGCTGCTTCATTCCAGCCAAGCTGCTGTTCCAGTGCTTCATCAGCCGCTTTTTCTCCATGTTAATGGCCTCTATCTCCGTACAGGCCTAGGGAAGAGAGAATATGCAGACAGGACGAGTCTATACTGGGCTGAGAAACCACATTCATGTGACAATGCAATTTTATTATTTTTTTTCCTGTTCATAATACGCTGGGCGGGAACAGCTCCAGCTAACGCGTGTCTGGCTTCTTGTCACACCAGACCACAGAGCACGGATCTCCAAGAGGAAAACATGCTGAGAAGGTGGGGGAGGAAGTGATTTACAGACCTTAAGGACAAAGTGTGGGGGGGAAGGAGAAGTTTTTATTTCTGCAGGCAGGAAGGAGCCATCCGACTCTGGCCCAGATCGCACACACCACGTGAGGATGAGCCACAGGGCCAGTCCTTCCAGAGGGAAATATTAACCAGGAACACAAGCAGCATCCTCCTACCTCATTCACTGCTTGCCGAGTTACTTTGGTGTCCTCCGCCTGGGCCACAAACTGGGCCTCAAGCAGATCAATCCGCTCTTGTAGTTCGATGACTTTTCTTGTCCAGCGCTCTACTAGAAGATCCTAAAGAGTCGGAGCCAAACAGTTCAGGATGAGTCATATAACCTCAGTCATAACCAACCAAATTCTACAAGAATAACATAGGCTAGAAGGGGATTAAACTGCCAACTGGGTTAGATTTGACTTTTCCATTCAGATATAAATGACTCATGAATGCAGCAGTGGCAACTTTCAAGAAACCGAGGCTGATATTTTTTCATTATCCCATCTGCAGTAGTAAATCGGTGCTCCAGATCTGAAGCAGCATTCAATCCTGCCAGCATGGATTACATTGTGCCACGTCTCCTGCAGCGGGGAACCTTTATATTTCTATTTTAAATAGAAATCATTTATATTTTAGAAGACTTTGTTTTAGAAAACATCGAAATCCATTCGATTTCAAGCGTTTGCACGCAGTTGTGCGTTAACAACCCCCAGCCTGTGTCCTGCTGCCAGCAGAAAGCAGCAGAGGGAGCTCCAGCTCACCGACCGCCCCGCTTCATTTCCAAAGTTCACTTCTCATCGCGAAAAAAGCCCGTGGTTTTGATTTTTCAATTATTTGGGAAAAAATATCCCCTCAGATGTCGCACAATTCACTCATTACAGCCTTCCTCCTGACAAGGCAGCACGTCCTCCAGGAGCCATCACTAACTGGCACCTGTATTTCTTTCTTTCAGAGCAGATGGTTTTACTCCATACCTGTTTGTTCTTTTCCACCTCAGCCTGGACCTTCTCTGCCTCAGCCTTCTTCATCGACCGCTTGGCGATTAAAATATTATGACGCATATCCTGCTCCATATTCTGCACGTGGAGGAGATGCAAGGCCAGGTTTTCAACCTCCGTCTGCATTGCAGAAACTGGGGAGGCAGAAGGAAAAATATTTGCAGAAAAGTACATTTGTAGGACACGCTTTAAATAGAGATTAAAGGGAAAGAACATAGAAGCACCCAAAGCAAAACTCACACATGCGCCAGCTAAGTCAGCCCTCCCTGACATGAGAGTTTACATCAGCTTTGGAGTATAGCTCCATAAGTAAAGCTAAAAGCCTTGGTAAGCAATTCCTTGATTCTCAGCACAGAGAACCTCAGGAAATCAAAGAAGGGGCCTCGGGAGGCTGTGAGTCCACCCCTCTGCCCCAAACCCGAACCATCTCTTTCTCAGTCTGTTGAATGCTTCTCTAGCTCTTTCAATAACCTGCACAACTTTCTAGGCAATTTATTTTAAATGCTTATCTACCCTTGCCATTCAAATTGTTTTAGTGTTTCCTACCCAAATGCCTGCACGCAAGAAGAATGATCAAATCCAGCTCTTTGGCTGAAATGGGCCTCCACTTGGATGCTGCTCTCATACTCCTGGACTCCCCTAATGACCTTGGCAATCTCATCACACCCCGACAGAGACACAGGCACAGATAACAGAGCAACGAGGATCTTCCTTTTTCCAAGTCACAGAACACAAGTAGTTGTAGTTTTAGCCCTAAAGACCTTCTTAGAAGTACAACATAGCAATGTGGTCTTAAAAGAACACAAATTATACGGCAGCCAGGAATATCTGCCAAACTTTTCAACGAGTGCATTATTCCTGATGAATTTTACTGTATTTTTCAATCCAATGCTTGACTTACATTCAAATTCGTTTCTCCCCATAGCACTAGAATTAGGAAATATTGCAAGGACTGCCCCAGTCACCTTTCTTGCGTTCATCATCTGTGTTTTGACACATTTTCTTGTAAGTAAGCCTGAGGTCCTCCAGTTCCTCTTCCAGCTGCCGGCGCACCATGGCCATCTGAGAGCAGCGGTCGTGGCTCTTCTCCAGTTCCAGCTGCAGATGGGCCAGCTGCTGCTGCACCCCGAAAAGAGTCACCCCAAGCTCTTCTCTCTCTGCTTTGCTCTTCTTGGTTGCTGTCCTCTGCGAACACAAGAAATCAGCTGTCTCACCTCAGCTGGGACAGGGCTGGGCTGCTGTGGGAAGGCAGAGAAACAACACGGTATACCAGTTGCTGAAGATCTAGGTTCACTTTTTCCATCTGCTTAGTAAGGTAATTCTTCAGGGCAGCCTGGAATCTTCTCATGAGAGGCTGTAAAGAAGTACGATGCTGATAAACTTTGACATACTTGTGTAAATAAATGATGAAGAGACCTTACTGCTTCTCCCACTATTAAATAAAACATCCTGTTTTCTGCCTTGGAGACTCGCTTTCTTTTTTTAGCTACACTCACTGTAACGAGTGAGGGGAGTTATACAGCGGGGTTTGCTGGCATCAGAACACGACTACTGAGGGTATTTTAAGGTCAGAAACACATTGGAAGAGCTATACCTGAGAGCTCTTGCTGCAAGCACCTCTCTTTCGGAATAGCATCAGAGTTGCCCCACCACATCGTTCACTTCTGAAACTGCAACTCTGGGGTTCGCATTGAGGGAGCTCACATTCAGCCATCAGTGCTTTTGCAAAACCTCTTCATAAACACGTAGTTCTAGCACACAGCTAAGCCACTGCTTACAATTTACCTGGCACATTTTATACAAATCAAAATAGCAGGTCTGCAAAGAAGAATGACAAGATCTGAGGACATCTCACGTGTTCTGGATCCAGGACAACCAGCTCTGTTTCTGCTACGGTTTCTTCACTTCTTCCGCTTATTTCATGTTCCTCAGCTCCACGCTGCTGGTGTTCCTCTTCCCATTTTTGGCCACCACGCTCTCCAATGTTACCTGGAACCCACCCCCCAGAAAATGAGAAAAAGATAAAGAAAAAGGCTAAATTTCATAGTATTGTGCCTCCAGTTGGATAAACAATGACCAGAAAGGGAGAAAACTAGGAACTGTGCTTGGTAGATGGTATCAAGTATTGTACTGTTAAAGAGGAGCTGAAGGATACCTGGCTCTGCGGAGCTGCTCAGCTGCCCTGATAACGCAGGTGCCTGCAGAGCTCCTGAAGGAAGGGCAGGGTTTCCTCTGTCTGCTCTTGGCTGCTCCATGTCACCCAGTTCAGGAGGACGACCGTCTAATCCCACTTTGTCCAAAAAAGTCTTAGGAGATTTTTCCTGAAACAAAAAAAATCCATCACCTGAAACGGCTTTTCAATCTAACTCTAGAAACCTGCTTCTTTTTGCCATCACGAGACAGGAACGATGCAGACAAGGAGTCAACACGAGACCCTTGTTCTAAAATCCGCTCACAGATGCACTGGCAAGGCTGGGTCACTCCTGACAAAAGAAACTTCACACAAATACAGCACAACAAAGGAACCTCTCCGGTTTTATGAGAGCTTTTGTGTACTTCATGTTTGCCCAATTAGCTTCTCTCTGTTGCAGTTCTGATTGGTTTTGTGCTTGCAGCAATAAAACTGCAATAGGAGAACATGAAGTTACAAATACCAGTCACGCAGCCTGTGAATAAGATAGATATTTTTTATTATAGTGTCTCACTTCCACAGAGCCAGCAAACTGCTCTGTAGCTCCAGAGACTCCTCTTTCTGCTGCAGGAAAGGTCTCTTCTTGGCCCTCCAGAGGAACTGGCTTTTCCTCTTCGTTGTCCCGATTCTCTGCCTCCATCACTTAGCACACAAGGGGCAAAAAGCAGAACAGCAGCGTCATCACGGGCTGTGTCCTTTGCTTAATGATAATGCTACAGGAATGTAACAACTGCTTTTTGTTACAGGGCACAAAGTTGAATTGAGAAGTTGGATCTCATCTGCGAAAACAGTCACCCAGCCAGCATTAAAACAGTAAAGATCCCGGCAAAAATGTGACACACCACTTTTAACTTCACACGTTTCTAGCTCACATCTATTCTCTTTTTAAATGCCCTTAGGGATTTGTTAAAGAAAGTCTTCCAGCTTGCACTGCATGTAGCCAAATAAATCTGTTCTTCCTTTCTTTTTAAAGACACTGTTTTATCCCATAGCATCACTTGCCGTATTCAAGTTTTGTGCAGTACCAATGGAAGAAGAAAACTCATCACCAAAAAAACTCAAAACGAGAGCCCAATTATGTGTCTCTGTGAACCCTGTAAAGTGTCCACAGCAGAAATGTGCTGTCTAAAAGCTGAGTGTGAAACAGCTGCTTCAAGGGGCTGCTGCCATACAGGACTGTCACCAAATCTGCTTTCGAGTAGCTTTTTTACTTTATACACAGGGCAAGACTGCAATAATTGCTCAATTGTTTTACTTCTTCCTATCGAAACTGTTTGCATGAAGACATCGCTTAGTAAGGAACGTGTAGGAACAGTTCAATGGAAATCACCTCCATAGCGAGATGCGACGGCACCCTGATGACGTCCCGCTCAGCGGAGCCAGATTCCACCCCAGACCCCTCTGCTGCAGCACTGGGGGCCTCCTCCATGGCGCTGGTGCGGGGTCTGACCTGTGCCTGCAACCAAAGCGCCCCGCGAGTGAGACAGTCAGCACCAGCCCAGCGTCAG